AGTACAGAGTAGAGGCGGGAGATTGAGGTGAGAGGAAGGGAAGACAGGAAGGAGTAGGAGGGATGATAAGGAGCGGTGAAGGAGCAGTAGGGGGGGTAAGGAATGAATGTTAGAGGCAGGAGGAGGTTGAGGCAGTGTTAGGAGCTGGTGAGCGTAAGAATATAATGGTCCTCCCAGGATGCTCGGCCTAATGAACCACTTCATGAACATCCTGGTGTAGTGGCGTCCTGGTTTAGTGATTCACCATATAGGCGTCCTGGTGTAGTGATTCACCATATAGGCGTCCTGGTGTAGTGATTCACCATATAGGCGTCCTGGTGTAGTGATCCAATGCTTATCCTTTAAGTTACTGGTTCACTGCACCACCTGCCAAATTGCAAGTTCGCTCTACCAACTGTCAGATCATTGACTTGACTTGACCAACTGCCAAGACGGGCATTAAAATGCTTGTCTCAGGAAATCTTTGATCACGAGTCTTTCAAAAGGATCGACTTTGTTTGATGTGGTGTGGTGACGTGGCTGAGTGGTGTGGTGGATGAGTGGTGTGGTGGAGAGGGTGAGTGGTGGAGAGGTTGAGTGGTGTGGTGGATGAGTGGTGTGGTGGAGAGGGTGAGTGGTGTGGTGGATGGGTGGTGTGGTGGAGAGGGTGAGTGGTAGAGAGGCTGAGTGGTGTGGTGGATGAGTAGTGTGGTGGAGAGGGTGAGTGGTAGAGAGGCTGAGTGGTGTGGTGGAGAGGATGAGAGATATAGTGGAGAGGGGGTGAGTGATATGGTGGAGAGGGGTGAGTGATATGGTGGAGAGGGTGAGTGGTGTGGTGGAGAGGATGAGAGATATAGTGGAGAGGGGTGAGTGATATGGTGGAGAGGGGTGAGTGATATGGTGGAGAGGGTGAGTGGTGTGGTGGAGAGAGGGGTGATATGGTGGAGAGGGGTGAGTGGTGTATTGGTGACTATCACAAGCCTAGTGGCCGGCCTGGTGAGGGCTGGAGCTCCTCATTAGACAAATATTCCCGTTCACCTCCGCCGCGATATGTTGCTGGTGAAATTTGCATAGATATTGTCGGTATGTGATTCATTTATGTCCGTCTGGCAGCTGGCAAACCTGCCTTCACGCTCCCTGCCATCGATACTTGTGGTTAGTAGTAATAGTAGTAGTGGTAGTTGAGTCTGGTTAGTGACCATGCACCAGATGCTGTTTACATGAGGACCCTACTGAAAATAAGCATATCATACCCTTGTAAAGTCATCCTTGGCCAAATTGAAAAAGCAAAACAAAACAGGCATTTGTCACTCCTGGAACAATATAAACAATTACATGCAAATTATTATAGATGAAGGAAATATCGCCCCGACTACACCTTCCCGTTAATCTTGTGGCTCAGTAGAATTTAATCTCTATCATTAAATGTAGTCACAAATATGGCGAGTTTCTGGACAAATGCTCGTGAATTCCAATGTGAATGTCCACCATATATGAATACTCTTTTCTTCTTATTTTCTCCACTTATCATCTTAGCAGCCTTATATCAGTCGTCGAGATAGTATTTAAACCACCCATTATTTTATGTCAAGCCATTATTTTACCTGGAACTTTGAAGCTGACTGTGTGTGGAACTTTGTAGTAAGACTGAGACTGAGAGACATCCATTTACATCATTGGTAAACATTGGTCAGTAGAACTTGTTGTCGTGAGCAGGAATGGCAAGCAGGATTTTTCTCTCTCGGTGAAATTATATTGTGTTGCAGTAATGAGGCTGTGATTGACGTAGACATAATGTTCAAGACACAAAAGATGCCTGAATAATCATGTCAGGGCAGATCAAAATATAATATACAGTACCTACACAGCTCAAACGCCCACCTTGTATCAGGAATATTAGCATTAAAATCTTAACCTCTTATAATTGCTGATCCCATTCTGGTTGCATCGTTGTTGTATCATAAATGTGTACATTTAAGGTACGCACAATACTGTACCCCAATGCACCAAACGAAAGAACTTCCATTCTCTCTGATCCAACTACTTTTCAGGGGACACTGCGCCATATTGTTCAGCTGCGCGTGCGAGGAGTTAATACTCTCAACACCAGTGCCGGATTTAGACCTGTGGAGGCCCATGGGCAGCCTCTTTGTGGAGGCCCCCCTCATTATAACTACCCAAGAGGGTGGGGTGGCGAGTGAAGCGAGCCTAAATATCTGGGAGTTCCGGGGGGCGCTGTAAGTCCCCCCGGGAAAATTTTGAAATTTGAACACTTCTTTGGAGAATTTTGAAGCCATATGCAGTTATATTGAGGAAATTAGAACATTGAGAAATTTTTAATTAACTGTATATTTATTGATAATGTACAAATTCCCAACACACACACACACACACACACGCACACACACACACACACACACACACACACACACACACACACACACACACACACACACACACACACACACACACACACACACACACACACACACACACACACACACACACACACACACACACACACACACACACACACACACAAAAGTGAGACATGACTGGAGTCATTCATGTGGTTTCAAGTCGACCAGCCCTGATATAGCTACTACCGCACATGTCAAAAATTTTCAAGAGACTTCACAGAAAAGAATATACTATTAGTTATTACAGAGAGATGATTCTTTGCATTATTAATCAGATAAACCTCTACTCAAATAATGGTTCTGTCCTAATGAATAAACAAGTAAATAAAATATTGTAATATGTGGAGGCCCCTAGATTGTGGAGGCCCCTGGGCAGCTGCCCACTTTGCCCACTCCTGAATCCGGCCCTGCTCAACACTATACCGTATTTCACTTCACGTAGATAAGAATTATAGTTCTGTACATTATGTAATGTTGATTGCTCTTTGACCACTATATAGACAGACATTCATTCGGTTAATTCGTGTACAAGTACACATTGGTTCAGTAATTGCATAGACAGTGCAAGTATAGAAACAATGGTTAAAAACTTATTTTCTCGTGGACGCAAGTTCGTATCAGTAGTCAAGATTATTCCCAGTGACTCTTAGGTGTCCACTGTGATCAGGTCAGGTCAGGTTACAGTTGCATCGAATATGTCCAGTTGGGTAAAACATTGTGTCTGTATATTTAATTTTCTTCGTTTATGAAATAGAATGTAACACAATGAAAGAAAATGAAATCCTTTGTCTATTTTTTATGTATACCTGCATTGTCTATATACATACTGAAATGTATACCTGCATTGTCTATATCTATCTATCTATCTATCTATCTATCTATCATTTAGCATACCCTGGTGATAGTCTGCCTCCCCCGTCGTGTCCTTATCTAACTCACACACAGGTTATCTGGTTGGATTAAACGATGACGTCAGATATATGGTATTTAAGTTCTCTTTCTGATGGCGTTACATTATGTATCAAGTACAATATATGATTTTATGACTGTTGCGTTGGTTTTACTTATTTATATTTACTTATATTTTTGTTTAATCTTAGTTGTTAGGTCTCTTTGATGTGAATTAGTTGCCTACGTCGTAATAATGGGTGTTACATAATAGGGTTTAAAATACAAGCCCGTAGGCAATGATTCAAACCCCCCGCCGTGTATGTCAACAGTCAAATTAATCTCTCGAAAACATTTTACTAATCAGTAAATGCCACACGGTGAAAAATTTTAGTATATATTTCAATTAATATCGAGGTTATGTAGTTATTTATATTCTTTCAAGGTAAATAAATAAGGGAGAAGGAGAGAAAGATTAATTTTATGATCTTGATGTGAACAAGTGGTACCCAGGAACAACATCTATGGTTGATTGTCAAAAATATGTGAAGAAAAGTAATTTATTTCCTTCATAAACCAAGACTTTAGAGTCGACTTAGCTTAGTTTTTTGTAAGGTAAGTGTAGCTGTTGTGTTCATGTCGCTAGTGAGTTGTTAATGCTGTCTGTGTAAGAGGTTAATGGGATAAATAAGAGTAAAGAAGTCAGGGTCACTGCAGTCCTGGTTTGTGTTGTGACTCAATCAGCTGATTCTCTTGCCTCATCTTTACATCACAGTCTGTAATGTTGTCTATGGAGTTTGGTTCACCATTATATGTATTTATGATCGTGGATATAACGTTTGTGTGATATTAAACGGATTTTGTGAGGGTTCAGTTAGCTGTGATTTAATTTAAGGTGAACATTTTTAGTTAATACTGTAGACCGAGACAACTTGATGGGTTTATTATTAACAGTGAAACCTTTATTTAACGGATTATATATTGGAAAATCCGTAAATCGATGGGTCATTAGATGTGATACCTTAACCTAACGGATTATACGGAGAGGAAAGTTCGTTGTATGGAGGTTTCACTGTTTCTAAAATGAGTTGAGTTTTCTGAGTGAGTCAATAGGCTTTGGCTGATGACTCATATTTAGGGTAATTTTCTAGTTTTTTTCTGGGTAAGTATTGGTAAATTAGCACCTTGTCTTTCACTACTGCGTCCTCATTCTATCTAGGTTAGACATAAGAAATGATGTTGTCTAGTTTAATCTATAATATTACAGATTTTGTTCAGTTCAGCCAATAATATTACAGATTTTGTCCAGTTCATTGGTATACTGAGAACAAGAACTTGAGGGAGTTATCTACAGATAATTTTTATTTATTTATTTATTTTTTAACCTGGGGGAATTCCTACAAAGTGACGAGGATTTGCAGATTTCATTATGTTATTGTGGTGATTCTCTCCCAGCTACCATTTCATAATTTTTGATGATTTACTGGTGATTAAATGACCCAACCAACCTAACCTATCTAACTTTACCTAATATACCTAACTTAACCCTTTGGCTGCGGGAGGCTGCCCTAAGCTGAATAAAATCGTTTGGCGGTAGCCAGAATAAAATGAAAAGTGTGCGAAACACAGTGAAAGGGTTAACCTACTGTGCCTATCCTAACTTAATCTAACCTAACCTACCTAACTTAACCTAATCTACCTAATGTTTAAGTTCATTGTTGATAGCTTATAATGTTTCACAAAGAAAATACGTTTTCCATCTCTTGCCAGAACCCATCTCGTACATCAACCATGTCCACTGACCCGGCCACCTTTGTGGCTGGCGTCCCCGTCAAAATTAGTGAGAGATTCCGGCCCCCCAGACGTGTGACTATCCCAACGTCCTGTCAACACCAGATTAACCCAGACCTTCTTACTCAGGAGGTACGTTATATTGATTAATATCTTGTTTGTGTGTTGCAGTAATTGTAAGTAACCAGATAATACAGTAGTGGTACAGTTATTGTACTATTAACTATAGATACAAAACTTTAAACAGTTCCTGACACCAACTATAAAAATTACAGACAAGTAAAGATATAGAGACTTGAACACATTTATTTACCAGTACAGGTTATGAGCTTTAAAGTGATGACTGCCCAAACACCATCCAGAGCTCAGTATAGTGTAGTTTTATTTCATGTTAAATAAATACCTAACTCTTTCATTTTACTTTGGTCTTCAGAACTTTTTAACAAATCTTTTCATTTCTATAACCGTTTCACGTAGAATATATATTAACCTCGATAGAATTTTATTATAATTTTTCCTTGATGCAGTTTTCTATTTACATGAATGCCTTGGTGTCTCTTTTGCCTGATGTCCCTCAGCTACTCTTCCCATTATATTGTACATCACTTCCTCACTACCCTACCCTCATACTGTCTCCATTCCAACAAACATTCTCTTCTTACCTTTAGTACTTCTGTTCACAAACTTTATTAAATTTTCCTCACTGCACAGCTTCCGAACTTATTCCATCTGTGCCACTTGCTTCCACACCGTGTTTTAATATGTCGGTGCAGATGATTTAAAGTAGCTGCTCATCTTGCGTGTCTATGGAGGATAATACAGGCGGTTCACGAGTTACAAATGGGTTACGTTCTTGATCCCTGTTTGTATGTCGGAACAGTGTTAATAATACCCGAAGTTAGGTTAACACACAACCCTGCCCATACAAAACAACAGTCATATCCCATACATAACAAATAATGTAAATACTGTAAATAAAGTGATGTTAAATAATATAAAGTAGGGAAAATAATGTAAACAATGGGATATTTGTGACATATTTATGTGATGAACATATTGGGATCCTGTTCATAACGTGGGGACTGCCTGTACTACTGAAAGCTTTTTACTGTAAAATATGGTACTGTACTCATTTGATTATTGTAAAATACTGCTGTTGGTTCATTACCAAAATTACCAATTTTATTTAATATCTTACACTAAAATGTGACAGAGTTGTTGTATGGTACAGTCAGGATAAGGTGTTTCTGTACCCCTGTGATATCCCCAATCAAGATAAGTATCATGCATGAATCCATAACCATAGACGACTGCAAAGGATGGGTGGCAGCGCGATCCATGAAACATTAGTTGAATCCCTTCTCACATCTACTACTGTGATGCTGCTGCCACATCTTGACTGGGGATATCACTAGGGTATAGCACCACCTTACCCTAACTGTACATCTGATAGGGTATTTAAGGTCATATTAGCCCCCCTGGAGTGAAGGGGTTAAGATTATTATGTACAGTACTAGCTTGTTTATTTTTTGCATCTTGTTGGTAAAGTGAAGCCTCGTAAGTTTGACCTACATACTAAGGATAGCTTGGCCATCTAAACTTGTGCTGGTCATGTCACTGTTACACATATAGTACAGTACTGGGAAGGTTCTACAGTATAACTGGTTTCTCTGTATGTCAGCTGCTGTAAAGGCTAAAGTAACTGGTAGCTTCACATTTCTTTCTAAGCACTTATGAGTTTGACAGTGAATTTAGAACTGCTTCTCAAGCACAGGAATCCCTCACCAACCACAGTTTTGAGTACAGTATCTACATTTTATATATTGTACACCATTTTAATAGCCACTGTATCAAATTTTAATTATCCAAAAGTTTCCACAGCCAATACAGAAGACATCTAGCCCAGAGCTGTACATTAGAGGAATTAAGCTATGTCTCTCACTTAACCCATTATATTTCCACTTGACTCAGCACTTGCCTACTATGGCTTTGCAATCTACAGGATGATTATGAAACATAACCCCTGCTGTTGGTGAGGAATTACTGTATAATGAAGAATAACTTATATAAAAATACTTGAGAAATACACTTGGATTTTATACAGAAAATATTTTAGTAAGGAGAATATAATAAATACTTTTATGCTCCATAGATCATTAATGAGTTTATAGCTAATGAAAACCCTGTCATGAAGTCAGTACAGAGATGCTTGTGTATTGTGTATTTTACGATGATGCTTTTTATTGCAACCTGCTGTCTCATCCAATGGAATCTTAGATCAAAATTTAATCCCACATGATCCTGTGAATAAATGTACAGTAACAGTGAGGCTTCAGATTATGGGTAGGATTTATGGTATTTCAGAGCGAGTTTGTTAACATGTTGGTTACAAAGTGTGTGTTGTAGTGTATGAAAATACTATGTTCTTAATGTAAATGTGTTTTTATTTACAGTATGACTTTGCCGTGGAGAAGACAGCACTAAGTTGGCTACAAGAGAGAAGAACTCGAAGAGAAAGAGAAGACAGAGAACGAAAAGAGAGAATCGCTGAGTATGACAGAAAAAAAGCGGAGAGAAAAGCCAAAGAAGAAGAGGAAGAGAGGTTAAGAAAAGAGAAGGAGGAGGAAGATAGACAAAGGATATTGAGAGAAGAGGAGGAGAAGAGAAAACAGGAGGAGGAAAAGAGACAGCTTGAAGAAGAAAGGAGGAAAGAGGAAGAACAGAATCAAGAAGTGAAAGACATCACCGATGATGGATGCAGCGATGAGGAAGAGAGCGTCAAGAACCAAACAACAGAGGCAGAGAGTGACGAACCCAGCGGAAAAACACCGTCGACCACCTCACAGGAGACCCTCAACACAGATTCCCAACAGCTCCATCCGGGCACTCAGGAATCCACACCCGTTACTTCTAATCTCTCATCTGACAACACCTACCCCACCAGCACCAGTAGTACCACGCACACGACGAGCGCTACATACACCACCGACCCCGGAACGCCGTACGACTGGATGCTGAAGCCGACGCTTATTCCCTCTCAGAAGAACAACGTCAAGTCTCCGCTGAAGACTCCCGCTCATATAAATTTTGCAGATTTTGAAGGGGAGGGTAATGACCCCTTTGACAGTGCTGCGCTGAAGTCCATAAACGAAATGGAAGAGTTGGCCAAAGTTCTTGATTCATCCAATTTAGGGCAACAATCAGTTGAAGGAAATAATGTTGGGAAACAAAATACATCTGATGAGGGAAGTACCCCTGTAAATAATTTTAGTAATCGTCAGGTACCATATAATGTATTTAGTCAGTACCCATACTACATGCAGCAGCAGCAACAACAACAGCTTCAGCAACAACAGCAGCAGCAGAATATTTCCCAATCACAACAGGGCTTTGGCCAGTATGCAAGCCATATGAGTAAAACTTCTCAAGTCACTTCTTCACCATCAACGGTGCCATCTTACTCTACTGGTTCACAGTATGGTGGTGACCCCAGCAGAGCTTTTCAGAACACTTATTATCCTCAGCAGTGGAATAATGGTTTTAACGTAAGTAGTCCCAGTAAAGCCGCACAGTACATGCCTTACGATTACCGTCTTCAGGCCAGTAACGTCCCGAGCAGTGTCGCAAACACCACGCAGTCGGGAGTGATGAGCCCCGGCAGCAGCTCGGGCAGCACGTCCACCGTACCCATATCCACTAACAGCAGCTTCCCAACCATGCCCTCGGTAGAGAGAGGAACCACTCCCAGTAAGAGACCGGACCTTGAAGACTTCTACTCTAGGTATTACTCCCAAAATAAAGCCACAACTCAACAGAACCAACACTCTGGCGGTCAGTCGGGGGAATCCACGCCGAGTCACAGCAGTAGCTCGGGTGCTGCCGGGTCGACAAACGGGTCGTTACGGTCGAGTCGGAGTGTCCCTGACCTGACCGCCGCCGAAGACTCTGAAGTGACGCGATTCAGTAGTGGGATCCAGACCAACAACGAGGGCCGGGTGTTCTCTCACACTCCTCCGCCACGACCTTCCAGTACTGGATTGACTGGCCTCGAGGTATGGGAGAATAATTGTCCAGTTTGATGCCATTTTTTCAAGCAGTTCCCATTTTAGTAAAACCTCTATATAACAGTCTTCTTTCTCCATCTAACGGACCCTTGATATGACTGACTTTTATTTCCATATAATTCATTAGATGGAATTTTCACTGTACATCAAATAATAGGAGTCAGATTAATTATTACATGTTTGGTTTCGGTCTCTCACACTGATCTATGACGGAGATGTGTCACACTTCCTCTCCTTAGCCATAATTATTTTTTTATTACCTTCTATTGGATTTTATTATACAATATACAGTATTATGATTGTTCCTTTTTGTGAATTTATTACAGTATTGGCAACAACATATACAGTATTTGATGAAGATGAGTAAATTGTCACCTGTGATGTACAAATACTGCAACACCGTCTTTATTACAGGATTGGAAACCGTTACCCAACTTATCAGAACCGCCTGAAACCTTATCAAATCAACACCTGTACCAGTCTGGGTCCACTCCTCACCCTCCTCTTCCACCGTCTTACACGCCAGTCAAGTCACGGCTTCCAGATCCATTCACGGAACTCACAACAGACGCTCAGGCCCTAGTGCAGAGTATGGCTGAGATGGGCTTCCCCCGCCCCAGGGTAGCGAGGGCTGTACAGAAATTAGGCACCGATCATAAAAAGGTATCTGACGTAGGGAACAGGGCATTGATTTATGATAAATTAAAAAGGGTATTTTCCTTAAACTATACATAGTAAAATTTTAGATTACATTAAGAGCTTAAAAAAAAATTGGCTTCCGGATATCTTGACACATTGTTATCTGCCTATGCGTTAATTTTCAATGCACATCTTGTGCTGTATTTAAATCTATCAACATGCAACTGAAAGACATAAAGACCTTAATTTTAGTTTAAACTTTGGGTATACAATTTTATTCTAATATTTTGACAGAAAAATTAGACAAAACGTCCTCAGAAAATTTGCAACAGTGATAGAAACTTCTCTTACAGCTCATCGAGGTTCTCCTAGTTCTGCAGTCACTTCAGGAGAACGGTGAGGACGGATACAAGGCAGAACGTGCATTTTACCATTACTTAGGAGATGTACAGAAAACTCGGGACCACCTCGCTGCTGCCAAACAGGTGCTGTATTTATATAATGTTATTATTGGAATATACACATTAGTTGTTCCATATAACATAAGTCGCCCAGATTTATGTTTCAGAAGAGTGCATTTTACATATTTTGTATCACCAGAAGAATCTCCATCCCAGCTTATTTTGTCTAAAGATTAACTAACCTAACTTAGCCTAAGCATTAACCTAACCTATCCTCTTCTAACCTAACTTAACCTGTTCTATCCTAACCTAACCTAACCTCCTCACCCCAAATAGTGTTAGGATGGTACCTGTACTTAGTATTATTATTATTATTATTATTATTTTTGGGGGGGTCTTTAATCTCCCTCAAAATAATAATAATAATAAAAATAAATGTGATGGATGAGGAGGCCAGATTGTCACTAATGTGGTATCTCTTTTTAGCTTCTGGATCTGGGATTTGAGGAGGAAAGGATTGTCGACGCTCTCTTAAAACACAACAATGACCGAGACAAAGCCCTGGAGGAGCTCATAGCTTAGAGGTGGTTAGTTGGTCCACATCATCCTCTGTTATCAAAATATGGTGAGATTGGAACCATTTTATCATTTCCCGACTGCATTCTATACCTGTCTTACCTTCACTGGCTCAATGACTGCTTTCCTTTTTCATTGTATACCTTTTTCTTTGTGTGTAGGAAGTGTACAGGTCATAACGTTCCACCCAGTGTATAGATGATACTATTCCACCCAGTGTATAGATGATACTATTCCACCCAGTGTATAGATGATACTATCCCATCCAGTGTATAGATGATACTATCCCATCCAGTGTATAGATGATACTATCCCATCCAGTGTATAGATGATACTATCCCACCCAGTGTATAGATGATACTATCCCATCCAGTGTATAGATGATACCCTCTCATCCAGTGTATAGATGATACCATCCCACCCAGTGTATAGATGATACCATCCCACCCAGTGTATAGGTGATATCGTCCCACCCAGTGTATGGATGATACCGTCCCACCCAGTGTATAGATGATACCGTCCCACCCAATATGGACTCACTTTTCTGTTTGGTCGAGTCCCATGTTGTATCATTTGCTTCAAACTTTTATTTACAGACCACAGTTTTAGGTTCACTGTGTGGATTGTACCTGGAAGTTGGGGACTGTGTAATTAAACTCTTCACTCTTACTCCTTACCTAGTTTTGTGTTGAGTGTATCAAGTGTCACAGAAACCTCAAAGAAAAAAAGATGAATTACAGTAGTAGGGAAGATTGGTGCAAGATCAGAATAGGAAGCAATAGGTAAGTGTTAAGGAACAAGTATTATAATTTATACAAACTCTTGCACATACTGTAATCCATTAGAAGGGGGGTCTCATAAAACGGACCCTCAATATAACGGACTTTTGTCTGTATAGTTTATTAGATGGAGGTTTCACAACTAACGGATCCTCGATATGATGGACCTTTCCTCTCCATAAAGCCCGTTAAATCGAGGTTTCACTGTATCCTGATAATGCACATTGTAGCTATACAAATTGTATCTCTGATACCCACATAGATTTACAATGTTTCATATCAGTTCAGAAGTCATATTAAGTTAATTCATTAGATATGTACTGTACTCTGTAGTTCATGTTTTCTATATATTCAATTGTTTCAGAATATATTTTAATTTTTATGGCTTCTACAGTTGGCTTAAGCTTGGAGGAGGAGAGGAAGAGACTACAGTGATGTGAGTCTGGGGTCGACACCATCGGACAGTACAGTACTATAAGCTCCATCACCACTGGCGTCTCTTCTCGGTGCTCTCGGTCCTCCACAATAAAACGCTACGTAGGAAAGCTGTGTTTGGCCTCAGCCTCCTCTGTGTGGAAGATGATTTGCGCTGTTGCTGGATGAGTCTTTAATAACAAGGATCTGATCATAGTGTTCATATTATAAGAAGTTTTATATTATATTCTTGACTTCTTTTCTTCTTTTCCCCCTCTTCTCCTATTACCTTCTCTCTCTCTCTCTTTACACACACATACAAATACATACACCTATACATATTTTCTTGTGTGCTTATACAAGTACATCATTTCCTGTACAAGAATACACACACACACACACACACACACACACAAATGCATGCATGCACGCACACACACCTAGATGTTTATATACAGACAGTAATTGTCCTTTGGGAGTTGAATATCACTGTAGAATTGAACACTTTGACTTATTGTGGTGTCGTGGAGATCACTTTTATATGTATCTCACAGGAATGAGGGTGGTAAACTCTGCTGCCTCATTCACCGACATACTACTTTCATTCTTTCTCTCCCGCTGCCTTACCTGGTGTATTCTGCTATGGTGTTCCCCCTTCCAGAACACAGCCTTAGATTTCACTTTCACAATTTTGTTTTTGCTTTTTTTATAGTCAAGAATGAAGCACAGTTCACAGTATGATCACAATATTAACACACAAACTCGACGCGTTTCTTTGTGAGAGACAATGAGTTTTAAACACTTTCTGAAATAGTTAACATTTGATTCTGATGTAAAAGTTGAAATTTGAAGAAAAAAAGTCTTATCTTCAATTTTTTTGTTTTTCATTTATTTATTTTTTCTAAGGTTATAAGACTTGGATCTCTTTGGTACTGTGTGTCCAGAACTTGAATACATATATGAATGTCTTTAAGTCAAGGCATTTAAAACTGAAGAAGTATTATTAGTGGTAAGACCTTAAGGAAGAAAATTAATTATAATCGACAAAATTAATCACAGAATGCATAGTAAAAGGGCAAATGTGAAAACCAATTACTTCCGTTGATACAAGTTAGGAAGTGGAGGTTGATGTGCAGTGTGTGCCAGTGGGACGAGTTGTACTGTACCTAACAGATCGCCTACAGCCATTCTCTGGTGTGCACAACAAACATGTCCTTGAAATTATGGATATTTCTGGCTACCACCTCACAGGGCTCACTCAAGCATACATTGCCACCCATGTACCCACCTATTCCAGGTATATATATATATGAACATGTATATATAATATATATAAATATATATTATAAACCTGTAGAGCATATTGAGACATAGTTTTTTGTTTTTTATATAGAAATATATAAGAAAACAAGCTAAGGAGCCTTTGTAAAAGCCATTTTCTGGCTCACAATTCCTAATTTACCATGTCATAAATGCCTGTCTTAAATACCCATATAAACTATAACGGTAGCTTAAGTTAGGGGCGTGGAGCAGGACCCAGTTGTGCTATTGTGGTCGCTGCTGCCACATCTACCCACTAATAGGTCTTATTATTTACCTTGTTCATCTCTGGAGATGCTCCATCGTGATGTAAAGAAGATTTTTTAATACTACTTTTTATATAGCAAGCATTATTATTTTATATACTGTAAAAGTATCGGTGAATTATTATTATTATTATTTTTAGGATAAGCACTTGTATCATGTCACTGGAAATGTAAGCTGTGATAATCAGATATGATGTATGATTGTGTATGATAGCTGAGGCTGTAGAGCTGACGTTAATGTGTGTTGTTTTTGGCAGATGAAAGACACTAAGTAGACTACAATTTTTTTTTTTATGTGTTTTCAATCAAAGTTAAAGGCTGACATCCTTTGTGCCATTTCCTCCACCAATCTCTACAGTGGCAACGGAACCCGTACACAGTCAACCACTAAAATCCCATTCTCCTCACCCCCTGAACCACCAACCACGAGATTCAGACTCGTGAATATGAATCATTTATGGACAGAATAATGTATCAGTTTACTGCTTTGGGTTCACGAATCTGATTCTCGGGGTTCGTGGTTCAGGAGGAGAGACGAACGGGACTTTAGTAGAGTTGACTACATGTAAGAAGGGTTAGCTCAGGGCAGTGATGTGACAGAGTGGCCTGGCTAGTAGTCGTAGAGTTATGACCCCTACCAACCATGTCTGACCACTGAAGAAGAATTGAACCCATTTCTCACAGATTGCGGAGTCCAGATAAATATACTACCTTAGCCGTGGAGCCCCTTATAAAAATAGATATTTTTACATTTTTATCCTCAGATTTGAAGATTTGGGAACTCCAAGTGTTACGCATTCTATAATTTTTTCGCTGAGGGGATATATCATACAGTTCTATTAATATTTGATGGTCTTGGGATATTCTTCAGCTGTGATTCCATAAATGTGAGTTGTATTTTGTCAAGATTGTGTTGTATTTTTTCTGTATTGTCATGACATCAATTTTTTTCTTGTTTTTATATAAGAAACTGAGTGTATCATCTCTCTATGTATTTTAAGTGTCTTGATGCTAAAATTCATTCCAGTTACGAATAATTGTCATTAACGTTTATAGTAAGAGGGAGGTGTATGCATTATGTTCGTTGTAGTGCAGTACAGTACAGGCGATCAAAAAACTATCTATAACTTGCGGGGGTCAATGAGTTTCAGAATGAACACTGCGACTCCTGTTTTCTTGGTAGGGTTGTCAAAATCCTTCGTCCATTGTGTCGTATTGTCTAACATATTTTTGTTAGGATAGTTTTTGGGATGGATTGTACAGTCAGCCAAAGATGCACCGACCCCACCCTGTGTTTCGTGCTCACAATTTTACCTGGCAATACTTGGTAAAGGAAGGCTGAATGTAAAGGTTATTCTGATTGGTGGATCTGTTTTTGGCTGTATCACTGTCAGGATAAATATTAAACAAACCAAAGATAGAATTTTTATAATAATAAACTATTCATTGTTATTTAAGGTCATGAGAAGTTTCCAAATGTTCGTATATCTGTTTAAATAATGAAGAAAATTTTATGTGAGAATCTTGTGGCAGCTGTGGTTGCTGTTGAGTTGCATGAGACCCAGGGTGGGGTCGGTGCATCTTTGGCTGACTGTACATGATGGCATTTTCTGGTGTTGATTCTCCCTGGGTGATAACAATGGCAGAAACAAGAGTACCATTTTGCATTTAATGTTTCCATCCCATTTTATGTATTTTCAGATTATTAGGAAGTAGAGTACGTTTATTATTTTCTTTCTTACGTGTACAGTATAGTTTGGGCTGCTGCCGTTAAAAGTAGCAAAACCCGGAGCGTGTACAGTTGACTACTAATGTCCATTCAGCTCTCCTTTCCCTGAACCATGAACCCTGTGATTTAGACTCTTGAACCTGAAGTAGTAGCCTGATACATTATTCTGTCCACAAATGCTTCGGATTCATGGATCAGAATCTCGAGGTTCGTGGTTCAGGGGGAGGGGCGAACAGACTTTAGTAGTTGACTGTACTGTATGTTGTGTAAATGAAAATAGCAGGATTACAGTTATTATAAATGCCATTGTCATCCTGTGGTTTATTGTACAGCTGTAGAAGTATTGTAGGGAAGCCTCGGCTCCCTGTTGTCTATCAAGAGTCGAAGATGAGGTTTTTTTAATCAGTCTTGTTAGTCCTTTTATGTCCTATTACAGTGAAGGACGGCTGTCATCAAGAACAACACACGCACACACACACTTCCCTGTTGACTATCTTATGTTCTTTCTACTTTTTCTCACCACCTGCATTCTGCTTTGGTGTCCCCTTACAACAATGCCTGAAGATAAACATGTATGGTAGTTAGCCCAGTTTACCATATAGCAGCATGTACAGTACAGTAACATAAAAAAAATGCATATACTTTTCATCAGAGTTTCCAAGTTTTTTTTACAGAAGATGCCTTCCATGACTTGTGTAGAGCAAAGTTAGGTGTTGTTTAGAAGAAACTGCCTAATATTTTTTTGTAGGACAAGCCTAGACACTAAGCTTAAATGCATGATCAATAAAATTACTTATCTTCATGTTTTACTGGTGTTATGGGGTATATACAGTACAGTGCAGTACCCTCCATTTAATAATAAATGGCTTCCATTAAATTTTTTATTGATAATTATGTAACTTTCATTTTCTTTAATGGTTTAGTAATAATGGTCATGAAACTGTTGTAGACGAACATTACTTTGGTCATGACGGCTGTAACCTTCACTTATCCACATACAGTGCAGTATAGTACTGTGCAGTGCAGTACAGTATAGAACAGTACAGTGTAGTACAGTATGGTACAGTACAGTACAGTATAGTACAGTACTGAACAATAGGTACAGAACAGTACAATATAGAACAGTACAGTATAGTACAGTACAGTACTGAACAGTACAGTATAGTACAGCTCTGAATAGTACAGTACAGTATAGTACAGTACTGAACAACAGGTACAGAACAGTACAATATAGAACAGTACAGTATAGTACAGTACTGAACAGTACAGTATAGTACAGTACTGAACAGTACAGTATAGTACAGCTCTGAATAGTACAGTACTGAACAATAGGTACAGAACAGTACAATATAGAACAGTACAGTATAGTACAGTACTGAACAGTATAGTACAGCTCTGAATAGTACAGTATACAGTAGTACAGTACTGAACAATAGGTACAGAACAGTACAATATAGAACAGTACAGTATAGTACAGTACTGAACAATAGGTACAGAACAGTACAATATAGAACAGTACAGTATAGATTAGTACAGTATAGTACAGTACAGTACAGTACAGTATGGTATGAGCTTGCCAGACATTGTGCCACATTGTCATATGTCCAGTCTCATTAAAGTGCTTTGCTTAGCATTACAGTATCTTCTGGTACAGTAGTTGTTTTTGTAACCTTCAGGGTTTGTTTTTATACAACATACCTTTGTCATCACACACAGTAACTCTTCTCTGCTAAAGCTTCATTAAGAAGGAGTTTTGAAGAACATAGAAACTCATCAAATATACTTTTATTTATAGTGTACAGTACAGTATAGGAATTACTCTGTATGGGCATGACAGTGTCATTTATAACATTATTTTGTTGATATTGAAGTGTACTAGAGGGGCCAGTATTGTGTGAGGTCACTCATCATTACACCACTGGTTCATTATATCTTATAAGACAAATTGACTTTTTCTTAACATTCTCCATTGTACCGTACGCGCACTGGATCATATCATATAACCGCTCACTCATTTTTGATGGATGTGTGGTGAGCTTGCCGGCATGACACATATATACAGTTCATTATATCCCACTTATACTCACTGCATTGTGTGAACACTCATTGTTATTTTTATTTGTTATTTTTATACAATTATTTTCAGTATGCGTTTAGCTAACTTGTGAATTTATAATAATTTAAATATTTTAAAAATAAAGGAGGAAATACATGAAGAAAATAGAGGTTTTGAGAACATCACTCAGCCATGCAGAATCAGTGAGCGTGAAGTGGTCCTTCCATGCAGTTAGCCAGGTGTAAAATTAACATTCTGTATGATGCTAAGTAAAAATTTGTAAAAAGTTATTCTCTCCCATGTGTGCAGTTATACTCATCATCGACATCAGCGTATTACAGCCATTTTCCACACTTGCCTGGGTTACCTACTTGATGGCAGGTCTCCATGCTCTACGGTCTCTTGCAGTCTCTCTTGTCATATCTCACAACCTTTCCGCATGACGTTCTTGGCTTACCCCTGGCTCTCCTCCCCTCCACATTTAGACTCGTGCACTTCTTGACCCAGTTGGCCTCCTCTATGTTCAAACCATCTCGACCTACTGTACTTCTAAGCAAGACTTTGCCAGTAATCTTGATACCTAGCTACCCTCTTAGCTCTAAATAGGGTTTCTCTCTTTCAATACCACTTTGCACAACCACCTCGCCATTCTCATTACAGTACAGCTCGCTCAAGCCTGCATGTGTCATCCTCTTTAACTGCCGATGTTTCTCTACCAAACATCACATTTTTCACTCCAGTTACAGACATCTTTCCTATCATGTAGAGGGAAGGTCTTCTTGACATCAATAAAGGCAGCAATTACATAAACTTTCTCCAGTAAGACTTCAGCACTGATTATGTCACACAGATATAGAACTCATCAACACGGTTCAAGGATATACACTTATACAGTATCCTCAAAGTTAAGTTTCTCCAGCCTCGCTAAGTATGAGGAAGCAGTAATCAATAATATAAGATTTTATTGCCAAAAATGCAAAATGCAGAATGTGTGCATGTTGGTGACAATATCTGATGCATGTAAGTTGTTTTTATAGCAAAATCATCATATAGGCTGTTGTGAATAAACACACATTACTGGTAGTAGCTATATTACATAACAGAGAGCCACAATCCTCTTACAGTGAAGTGTAGGCAGGAAGCAGGTTACAATATTAAATAGTGCTAAGTGTTTATTTTGGATAATAATACATCACTATACAGTAAACTATTGCTTTCCCTCAAATTTTGTCAACAAGGCTCTTTTCTTCAACCTCAGTGCGTTAGTTGTGGTGGGAGAGGGTGCCAGCCTCTTGTTATCCTTCGTGATACACAATGCTGCCAGGAGCCAACATTTCATTATTGTGGTCATCGATGATCAAAACACTGCACGGCTGCACCTCCTGTTGCTGCTGAGTAATGTGACTGTTCATGATGGGAGACAGAGGCTTGTTGCTAATTATCTGAGATGTGTTGTGTGGGGAAGCCCATTCCTGCTGCTCATTCTTACTGCTCGTTTGCCAGCACATACTGAGGACGTCATTCTGTCTGCTGGTTGGCTGACACACCACCTGCATACATCCTGAATATAATAAAGAATACTACAATCAATGGGGTAAAAATATGTTTATAATACATCGTATATATCTTATTTTTTGAGAGAGTATCTTTGTGTGAGAGAAAGATAACCTCTCCCTCTCCCTTACCAAGTGTAGGACAATGGGAGTACACTCAGTACAGTACAGTAGATGAAATGGGATGTTACCCTTAGAAGTAGTGCTCTATTGTACGTGGGCTGCTGGGCTCTCTTGGGAAATCCATGGATCTGCTCTAATGATGCCCCGATGTGAGACAAAGGATCATCTTTTGTTTTATGTGGGAGGAACTAGGAAGGCGGGAGTTGTGTTGCGGGTGAGGGGTATTTGTAAAATTTCTTAATATCCATAGTCTACCCTCTACCTCTTCCCTTTATGGTACACCGGAGGTTCGATGTGGGGGGGGGGGGCAGCAGGTTGAGCCCAGTTTCCCGTCATGTGGTCAGCCCAGTGCCGGATTTAGACCTGTGGAGGCCCATGGGCAGCCTCTTTGTGGAGGCCCCCCTCATTATAACTACCCAAGAGGGTGGGGTGGCGAGTGAAGCGGGCCTAAATATCTGGGAGTTCCGGGGGGCGCTGTAAGTCCCCCCGGGAAAAATTTGAAATTTGAACACTTCTTTGGAGAATTTTGAAGCCATATGCAGTTATATTGAGAAAATTAGAACACTGAGAAATTTTTAATTAACTGTATATTTATTGATAGTGTACAAATTCCCAACACACACACACAAAAGTGAGACATGACTGGAGTCATTCATGTGGTTTCAAGTCGACCAGCCCTGATATAGCTATTACTGCACATGTGGAGGCCCCTGGGCAGCTGCCCACTTTGCCCACTCCTGAATCCGGCCCTGGGTCAGCCTAACTTTGACCTCGCTACCAACTTTTACCCTAATGGTAAATGGCGGCCAGCACCTCCCCACGTCCCGAGGTGTGTGTGTGTGTGTGTCGTGTATAACAAGTGCTCTTGATGGCAAATACTAATATTTAAAGACCATCATACTGTATTAGAACAAATTGAAAATATAATGAAGGCCCTGTGATGCAATTGTTCATATCATAATAAAGCATTTTGCAAAAAAATGGAAAATTATCTATTGGCATACTGTACATTCGGACACGAGGCTCCCCATGACTCCTCCCACCCAAATGTTAGTTCACAAATGAACTTCCTTGTTGTAGGTAAGACTCGGGTCATCTCATGTATTATTAATATATTGGTGACACTGACCCACACTCTCGCCTTCATTCATTATGCTATGCATCTTTCTTTACGATGATAATGAACCTTCCTTCTTCCGACAATCGGTACTGTACTCTGGCCGTAACCTTAAAAAGATGGGAGCATTATGTCATCTATGACGTCATATTCGCGCGAAAATACAAAACTTACAAGTTTAATTTGTTGTGTTATGTGATGACGTTATGTTGTGACGTGAGTTACTAGTAAGTCACGGCGGCTGGTGATATACACAGGTGTATATAATTTGTTGTGGTCGTCTGTTTATTGAAATTCGTTGGAGAAATAGTGGAGATTAGAGAATAATTTGATATATAGGTCACGGCGGTACTCCACCCACTGAGCTGCTGTTGCCAACGTCTAGTTTTCCTATTTTTTCTAGTTTTGTATTTTTATTTAACTGACAATAAAATCTAGTTGTACTTCTAAATGTAGTGATGGTTATTTTTATTACTTACGAGTTCAAAAGTTCAGTGTAAATAAAGATAATAGTCACTGGACATTAACCCAGAGAGAGTCAAGACGCTTCGAAAACTGACCGCTCATATTTCATGTACCACTATCTACCAGCACCTCTACAGCACTTCTACAGACTCTACTTTCCTCCTGCTCTTCACCTACACCACCATACTCTCTCCCTCCCGGTCACCACACCAGCACCAAGCCGCAGTGATAAGCTACTCCCACCCACCCGGTTGGTCTGTCTGGTGGTCCGAGCGGGCGGCTACATCCCGAGACAGTGTCAGTTTAGGTCCAGTCCAGTTGAGCAGTCATCCATATCTAGTCACCGCCACCACCACGGATGTTACTTACCCCATCACTTAAGACAATGGATGAAGTTGGATGTTTGCAGTGGTCCTGGATGTAACAACATAATATACAGCACGTGTTGTAACAGAGAAACAATATACTACACAGTGGGCGAGGTACTCAAGAGACGACACCTGGCCAGCCATGATGTGTGTGTATAAGATGTGTTTACTCGTATCGCGGTGACCAACAAGGACATCTTCGGGGCGACCTGTGACCACTTATACTGCATCTCGTGATAGATACCTTCAGGTGACCAGTTTCCTGCGTCGGCGTCGTTGAGGGAGGTGTTCTGTCTGTGCACAAACCGGATGATCTCAACAGCGTGGCAGGTGTCCTATAGTGATATTAATGTACATATGGGAATTAAACTGAAGACTGTATCGGCGACCACAGCAAGAGGAGGAGAGGGAGACCCACACTACCAGAAGACCTTCCTCAGCAGCGACGTGCAGGGCTGTCTTACCCTAGCTCTCTCTCTCCACAATCCCGGTAAGTCTCCTCTCTGTCTGATGTGTTATTGTTATTATGGTTTATATCCATCAATAACAGTGTTTATATTTCCTCAATAATATGACCAGGGCTGTGTGTTTGACCACCCCTCTCTCTCTCTAACTTGGGATAAATCATTCTACACTGTATGATGCTGTAGCGTATGATGTATTACTAGTGTATGTGATTCTTGTATTTCCTAAAAATAAAATCTATCTGATGTTTCTAAACAGTTGTGGAAGATAAGTTTATTGTTGACTGGAACATCTGACGTATGTGAACGAGAGAGCTGGAACATGTACTGTAGGTAATAAACACAACACTGCTTTAATGTTTACCTGTTTTTATACCCGTTTACACCTTTTAATTAGCCCAAGCCTCGAGAACAGGTGTCAGGTATGTGGTAAGACGTCTATAGGTAGTAAAATCGGCGAGAACAGATTCAGACTTGAGAGAACCTGAAAATGCGGACGGCCGGGTCACTAACCTCAAGGAAAACATCGCTGGTAAGACAACTCCCGTAGATTTATTTGTCTGTAACAACATACTCACAGATACTCACAGATGATCTTCTAGAAGAGGCTCACACCTGTGACTCCAGCTCAATAGCCTCTTCTCTACTCTGACGGTGGCTGCGTGTGGCGGATATTTGTGCCCTGACTCAAGATCTAGATTTCCTCAAGTATTCGTGGGTTAGTTTTTGTTCCCTCGAGCTGGGGGAAGGTTAGAACGGGTCTCTGGTTATCATAAAAGAGCTATAATAGAAAGATAAATGATCAAAATAACCCTCATCCATATTATATTCCGACTGTAATATAACTCGACTAGCGCTCTCTCTGACCCTCAAGGTTCAAGCTTAGTTACATATGCTGTCCATCACCCGTCGTCTTAATATAGTGATTCAGATGGCCGCTTCATCTCTGGTTCTTGAATGAACCTGAAAGTGTGTTGGTCCAGCCTGGTCTGAAGACAGTTCACATGTGTTACTCTCACAACATTAGATTATATTGTACCAGGAGACTTTGGGTTCACTACACTATATTTATTAGCAATATAAACAAACCGAGGTTAATGTACTATAGTGTGTGTGTGTGTGTGTGTGTGTGCGCGTGTGTGTTTACGTCTCTCTTGGGTGCACATCAACAGCTGACTATGAGGCCTTTCTTTGTTTGTTTACATTCTTCTACCCCCGGGTTAATATTCGTAGTTTTGGGAAAAGATTAATAGTGTCTTAGTAATTTTGAAGTCACTGGCACTGTTGCCGAGTTGATACACCTCTCACCTCTTGTCCTAAAGTTCACTGGTTTGATCCCATGGCACCCACTGTTCACCCAGCTGTTAATAGGTACTCGACCACCTACATTTCCTCAACCGTAAAGTTAGGTGTCCATTTACAGTTGGGTTGACTCTGGGTGCCCTGACATCGAACTAGTTATCCTTAGGACAGAAAATGAGAGCAGTATCAACTACCGCACCTCTTGGCATCAAGGTGCATTCTTATAGCTGTTATGAGTCGATTTAGCGATATTGTATTGATTTATTTTACGGGATTAACCCACTAGGGCACAGATCAATGATAAAGTTATTGTTTATTATTACTATTATTATTATTATTATTATCATTATCATTATTACTATTGTTATTAGAGCACAGTAGAGTGAGTGACGGTTCAGTAGCGTGACTATGAACGCACGTGAGCGCAACAAGGATGAAATAGGGGAGGGTGTGAAGGAGTGTCAAGCCTCGCGCACTCATTCACTCACTCAAGCACATACACACATTCTGCTAATCAGGGCAGAAAGGAGTATAAGTTATGAGTTGGGAGTTACAGTCTGTGGGTGATTATGGGGTTGTGATTAGAGAGAGAGAGAAAGAGAGATATACAGGGAGACATATATATGTCTCTCTCTCTCTCTCTCTCTCTCTCTCTCTCTCTCTCTCTCTCTCTCTCTCTCTCTCTCTCTCTCACGCTTTCTCTTTCACATTACCAGGTATTGCTGTGACGTGTCATTCACCTACTTTCCTCAGGTGAAAGTTCTTGTGTGCACGGTTACCTGTCTCTCTCTCTCTCTCTCTCTCTCTCTCTCTCATACCTAGACTGGGGTTTATATGGAGTGTGTATTAGTACGTCACACACACACACACACACACACACACACACACACACACACCATTAAGCAAAACAAACACTCCGGGTAATCATTCCTTGTTCTCTCTCTAGATGGATAGTGGCGGCGGTTTTAGCGGTGGAGGATGGCAGAGCAGTGACAGCGGCAGCGATGGCAGATGGCACAGTGGTAGCGGCAGTGAACAAGATGGTGGCAGTAGCAGTAGCGGCGGCACTGGCGGCAGAGGGGGCGGCCGTGGCAGTACATCTAGCGACGCTTTCTACGGGGGGATGCAGGAGGCTGACCCCCCTTACTACAGTACCAATAACAACGACTACAGCAAATACAAGTACGACCCCACGACCTCCACCACAGACAAGGACGACTACTTGTCTCATCCCACTGCAGGCTACGACACCTTCGGCAGTAGGCCAGGGGGTTACTACAGCCAGGGACAGGAGCCGGGCCAGGGTGACTCCACCTGCCCTGGGAACACTAGTGATCACCTACAGCATCCTCACAGCCACAGTGACTACGGCAGCTCTCAGTGTTACAATGAACGTCAGGGTCACGACTCCTACAGTAGCCAGCCAGGGTACAGTGAGTACAGGCAGGAGTATACCCCCTCTAGAGTACAAGTGACAGCCAAGGTCCTCTTTGGCTCCGTTAGTGCCATATCCAACCTGAAACAGAAGAAGAAAACTAAGAAGTAGTGTGGGGGAGAGACAGTACCTCACTATACCTCCCTCACTTATGGGGGTAGAACGTTCGCTCCTGCCGGTATACAAGAGCGCCACTACAGACAACAACAAAAGCTGGCGAACATTAGTCTGACTTAGTTATGACTTGGTGAAGGTAAAAGCCAGGCGATGTTACTTGCTCCTGACGCACGGCACTGTGTTTTATGATATGAGTCACATCCTCACTTGTCCCATAAAACACTGTCACCGTGCGTTGGCTGGCGAACGGTCGTCTGGCGTGGCTTTCATAAACCAGGTATAGCATCATTACGACGTGGAAACTAAACGCCAGACGCTGTGACTGCTGGTGCTGGCGCTGCTTGTAATGGTCAGGACCCAAGTGTCTGTGATACACCGTCCAGGGACTAATGAACAGTCCTGGTGATCTCTCTCTCGTCAACAAGTGAGATTAATGAAGAAAATAATGATGACTTGGTCTCACTCACCCCAGCCGTGGTCAGTGTTCCTAACTGTTCTGGGTCGCACACAAACTCAAGCGCGCCCGGTGACCCCTTATCCCTCCTGGCCCCTAATACTGACCTGATCCCCAGGTTAGGATGGAGAAATTAGCAGTTTTTCAACCATGTTTGTAAAGCCCAATATGTCCACAGGTCAAATGTAAAGACAATTATCTTCCTATTTTGTGACCTCAGTCGGCTGTGCCATCATATGTAGACGTGTTTATAATATATTCCTTACTGAGATATGACTCA